TACAGTTGCTGCTCATATCACAATACAGTGAAGATTAAATGATGATAATGTCTGTGAAGCTCCTAGCACAGGGAAGGGCACATGAATAAATTTTATCTTGCTTCCCATTCCCTTGCATGTGAACTTGAAGGAGGGAAATAAGGGGTAAAATATAAGAGTAAGACAAGCCTCTTACCTTCTTTCTGATTCTGTGCCCATGGTTACCACCCCCCAGCCAACTAACCAAGTCTTCATCCGAAAACTGAGCTAAGGCACTCCAGCAGCTGCTTAACTGAGCCACGTAGCTGTGCCAGAAGACCCCACTTCATCCAACAAGAGAGTGTTGCACTTTCCTTCTCATCTGAGTGGACTTAGTTCAGATTATATTCCAAGTTTTTAATACTGCCTTCCAATAAAAAACACAGGCTTCTTGAAAAGTACTTTATAGTATAAAGTATACTTTATAGTATTCATTAGTGCCTGACACAAAAGGCTCTCCAATCAATTTCACATCTCTTGTGAATGTTTTTCCTGCTTTGTCCTTTACTTTTGTTTGTGTTGCCAGTTTTTGACAAAAAAAGAATCTCAATTTTTAAGGCAATTTTAAGGGAATTTTTGCCTCATGGTTGCTTCTACTGTTTTATTAACAGAGTGCTCTTTACACCAACAGATGAGTTAGGCATTCAACGTATTTTTTCATCTTTTTATGAACTCATTATTTACATTTAACTCTTTAATCCACTTAAAAATTTTTGGGTGGATACCAGGTGAAGATGTAAACTGGCTTTCTGTTTTAAAGAGGCATGGCACTATTAAGGCATCCTTCCTTCCCAGATGCTTTTTGTGATGTGTCTTTTATTAGCAGAGCCTTTTCTCTGAGGGAGGAGAATGTATTGGAGTCACCTGGGAAACTTTTCAAATATACTTAAGTCCACCTTTGCAAGATTCTAGCGCACTGTGACTAACAGAATGCTGGATCTCCCTCTGACGTGTTCCTGACAGCCATTAATATGTCATATATTCTTTTCATATCTATCTCATCTAGGGTTTGTTTAGAGGTGTGTATTCCATTCCACTAATAAGTTTATCCTTGTGTCTGCTCCCCAATATTTTCCTTACTGAAGAATAAGAATATATTTCGATATCTGCTAATGTAATTTTCCATGATTACAAGTTGAATATCACTTAACCAAAGATACCTAGAACCAAGGTGTTTCAGACTTTGGAGTTTTTCAGATTCTGGAATATTTGTACTGATTGGGCATCCCTAATCCCAAAATCCAAAATCTGAAATACTCCAAAATCCAAAACTTTTTGAGCGCCATCAACGCTCAAAAAGTTTTGGATTTCAGAGCATTTCAATTTCATATGTTCAGATTAGTAATGTTAAGCCTGTATTTCAAAAGCCTAAAAATGAATTAACCTATTAACATGTCTCTGAAGCATTTAGGTTGTCTTGAGAGAATTCTAGTTTGTGAGTTTTTTTTTTCTTGTGGATAACTTTTAGTAAAGCTTTGGCTCAAATAGTCATAATTATATTAGTTCTACTTTTATAAAAGTTGAAAACAGACCAACATTTACCCTAGCAGTTATCTCCAGCTTCTTGCTATTGCAGACCCTGGGAGGTAGTGGTGATGGCTCAAATAATTGGGTCCCTGCTGCCCACGTGGGAAACCTGTACTTGGTTCCTTGCTCCCAGCTATGGTTGTAGCCATTCAGCCCTGATGCAAACCCTCAGAGGGAATCTCTCTCTCTCTCTCTCTCTCTCTCTCCCTCCCTCTCCCCCTCCCCTCCCCCCTCCCTCTCCCCCTCCCTCTTTCGGTCTCCCTCTCTCTTCCTCTCTCCCTCTCCCCTCCCCCTCCCCCTCCCTAAACTCTCAAAGAAATTTTTTTTAAGCTTAAAAACTTTAAAGACAAAACCTTATGTACTAGAAAAGAATTGTCTTTTTCTATTGATATGATCTTAGAAATTCAACCAGCATCAAACCTGGCTGTAGAAAGCTAACAGAAGTGGCCAGTGTTGATATCTCACTGTGGCAGACATGCCGCTCATTTTGCCCTTGTTTGGTTTTGCATCTCTGAGGTATTATTTAGAAACTTGCTCTTAAGGTCTTTTGCAAGGTAAGGATATGTATATACTTGTGAATTTCCTTTTTCTGTATGCTTTGAGAACCAAACCTTAGGTTGGGGGAAGTTAAGGAACAGTATTTCCTGCTTGCATACACTAATGCTCAGAAAAATATAAAAGATTTTCTGAGATAAATGCCCTTAAATTTGGTAAGACAGTATCGTATTTTTCTAAATACTTTGAAACATTCCCAAGACTCAGGGCACTCTGAGGCATGTTATCAGTGAAACTCTGATCAGTGAACTATTATGAGATTGACAAATTGACTTATCTTCAAAGTTTATTTTATTGCAAGTAATATGACAGCAAGAATTACTTTAGGATACTTTTTTATTTTATTTTGTAAGAATTGTGCGGGGACCATCTCTTTTAATTAAAAACTGGAAGAATTTCTCGAGCTATGAATATCTGTACTTTAATGCTCCTTGAAGTTAATAATAATATTTTAACCATTCAAACTATATATTTATAAAAGAGACATATAAGAATATTAAATGTTTATAAGGTATGTGAAATATTTTTTTAATTTTGAAGACATGAGGGAAAATAAAAGTTTTTATAATTTAAAATCATGTAGAATGGACATTTGGCACAGACATTAAGATGCCACTCAGGAAGCCTGAATCTCATATCAGAGTGTGTGAGTTAAAGTCCTGGCTCTGCTTCCATTTCCAGCTTCCTACTAATGCTCAGGTGGATAGCTCAGGTACTTGGTTCCCTGCCTTCCCTGTGGGAGGCCTTAACTGAGTTTCAGGGTCCTGGCTTTGGCCTGGCTCAGCCCCAACTATTGCAGGCGTTTGAGGAGTAAACTATCGGATGGAAAATCTTTGTGTCTCTTTCTGCCTTTTGAATAAAACAAATAATTAAATACAAAAATACTGAATTTAATTTAGAGAAATGCCAAATTTCATTTTTTGAAAGATTTATTTGAAAGGCAGAGAGAAAGAGAGGTCTTCCATCCACTGGTTCATTCCCCAAATGGCTGCAACAGCTGGAGCTGGACCGATCCGAAACCAGGAGCCAGGAGTTTCTTCAGGGTCTCCCACGTGGGTGCAGGGGCCCAAGGACTTGAGCCATCCTCCGCTGCTTTCCCAGGCCATAGCAGAGAGCTGGATCAGAAGCAGAGCAGCCAGGACTCAAACTGGTACCCATATAGGATGCCAGCACTGCAGGCAGTAGTTTTATTTGCTGCGCCACAGCACCGGCACCTGAATTTCATTTTTTGAAAATAGCAATGATCCTTTTCTCTTAGAGAAAAGATGTTAAATGTCTGTCCAGATGTTAACTTATGTTTGTTATGTCATGGTAAAATAATTTATATTATTTTATTTTTTCTTAGCTTCTGATTTTTCTGCAAATTTCAATTTTTATCCTCAAATGTTATTTGTTTTTTAAATATGTGCATATTTCAAAAAGTATACAGAAATGGAATTAAAAGATGTTTTTGTAAAAATGTTTGAAATCCATGTATAATTTTTATAATATGCATTTTCTGTGAACTTTTTTGAAAACCTTTACTTTTGCTTTGACCACTTCTTTGTTCAACCAATTGTGTGCACTTGTTAAAATATGGTTAACTGAGCACTAACTGTATATAAACCAAATCTCATTAAAATAAATTCACCTCTAACAAAAACTTGAATGCTTTTCAACACTGAATCCCCAGCCAATGGCCTATCTTCCTTTTTAAAATTGTTTTGACTATAAAAAATTATACTCTGTGATGAAAACTTATGAAAGGATCATTGGAGTTTGTCATTACAGGCTTTTACGTATTCAGTCTATGACATTCTGGTTGTGTGTATGGTCAAAGAACTGAACAGATGGTGGTCAAATTTTTGAGAATGATAACACTCCTGTCCTGATTGCAATTTTTTGATGTTCTATACAGCCATATCCAGATTTATTAAATTAAAACTAAGTGCACCCAGTTGCTTTTTTTTGAGCACCCCTTCCTTCCCTTCCTCCCTGTTTCCTTCATCCATCCGTGTTCATTTATTCACTCAATTATTCAACGAATATATATTGATCACCTGTGTACCAAACAAGGCACTAAGTAAGCTTCAGGATATCTATGATGAACAAAACAAAGATCCCTTTCTCTTTGAACATACATGAAATTTCAGAGTTTACTCCTTTTAATTCTAATCTACAGGTTTTCTTTATTATGAAATCTTTTGAACATTCAAAATTTAGAAAGCCCATGTGCCTGCCACCCAGATTTAGACATTTAGTAGACATTTTACCACGTTTGCTTCAGATCTCTCCAGTTGTAGCCATTAACTCGAAGTTGGTATGTGTGTAGTATATATTATCATGTATGTTTTGTATTTTTACTGTATGTTAGAGAGATCTATAAAGAATATGGTATTGTTTGTGTCTTCTATTTTACATAAATGATTTCATGTGGTACCCTTTTGCAATTATATGTGTGTTTGTGCTTTTTGACTCTTATTTTTGAAATTTCCCCCATGTGGATATTTGTAGATGCAGTTCATTTCATGGAAGTGAGCTGAGTGTGCTGAATGCTATTTCATTTTGTGAATAAATCAGTTTACTTCTGCACGCTTTTGCTGATGCATACTTGGTTTCCAGTTGTTTAGGAATATGAATGGGAGTTCACTGAGCATTATATACATGTATTTTCCTATGCATATATTTGAGTAATTCTGTAAGATATATACCTTGTACTGGACTTGCTAGATGATATGATATGAACATCTTCCATATTATTCTATAAAAGAATGGCTGAGATGGCTGAATTGTTTATAAATCTGTTTTAATTTAAGTAGGTACAATTGCCATGAGGCTATTGGATTTTTAGCTTATGTGTTTGATTTTTGGCAAACAATATTTAAATTCTATTTCTATCTAAGCAATGATAGTGGATGATCTCATGTTTCATTAGAATTTTATTATCATTTCACCTGTTACAGAGTGTTAGGTATAAATGAATACATTGGCGAATTATACATGCTTTTAAAATGACGAGAGAATATATAATTTTCTAACATTTTAAGTCACTCCCCAAATCTTTTAACTTACGTTTAAACACATTGCAAATTAATATTCAAATGCTTGATTTTAATAACTACTTTAAGTGACTTGAGAAACTGACACTTGCAGTAATAATCTTGTTCTTAAAGCCATGAACTTCACTAAACTTTTTAGTCTACATTAAGAGTGTTAGCTTAATGATGTTTTCTGAAAAACATTTTACATAGATTTAAAATCCAGTGATGAGTTTAAGCTTTTCTCTGCCATGAACTATTTTACAGTTAAGCAAAGTACCACGAATGTCATCAGTGGTCAGAGAAGATGTGTTTTGTAAATGCTAGAGCTTTGTTTCATAATTTTTTTTAGTTCTTCGAGGTGGTTTTATCTAAATTAAAAGGTGGTATTATCGCATTCTTTGTAGTATGTTCACCTCAAGTACTTTTAGAACCATACTGTATTTTCGCTGCCACAGGTGTATCATGCAGGGAGTAACCTGGCTTGAATTCTGAAGTGCTTTCACTTCTGCTCGCTTCACCTTGAAATCGTCTAAAAAGCAGTTGGCACATGATTTTACGGATATTACCAGACATCAGGAAGTACATGACTGGATCTAAGCAGCTATTGAAAGATGACAGAACCAGCATGATCTCATTGGTTTTGTGAACAATTTCCTTCCAGTAGCAAGATGATACATTTAGCTGGGAAGAAATGTAGATGAATCGAAAGGCATGATAAGGAACAAAACATATCGTAAAAATGATAAGTACAATAAAGGAATTCCGGGCTGTAGTAGCATATTTCCCAGAATTAGGAAATTTTGACCTACGTTTAGAAATCCTCAATAGATTCTTGCCGATCTTAATATATGAAAGGATTATTAGTAGGAAAATTAGCCAGAACATTATCACAAGAATGAAGTTAAAAATTGCCTCTCCTTTCTCATTATGCTTCTGTCTATAATGGAAACACATTGTGGAATTATGCCCTCCTTTCTTAAGTGTTAAAACAATCATAGTTAAAAATCCAGCAAGAGCGATTGTCCACACTATACAGCAAACGTAAACACTTTGTTTGGTTGTTATTGCCTTCCGTTGTTGTATAGACCGATTAATTTTTATGTAGCGATCCAAACTGATGAATCCAAGCAAAATAATGCTTATGTACATGTTCATATAAAATAGCGTTCCCACAAGCTTGCAGAAAATCACTCCTAGTGTCCACTTGTTTTGATTAATGTGATACATTATTCGGAAAGGGAGGCAGAAGATGAGTAGCAGGTCTGCAATGGCAACGTTAAGTAGGTAAATTTGAATGGAATTTCTTTTACGATGGATACCCAGAAAGACATAGAGGGCGATTACGTTCCCAACCAGTCCTATGATGAAAATAACAGAGTAGAATGTGGTTAACACAATAGATAGTAATTTTTCATCCATAGAACAGGAAGTAGTAGCATTCGATGCTCCAGAGAAGTTTTGGGGCAGTTGGTTGCTGTGATTGGTTATGAAGTACATCCTGTGCAAGGAACAAGACCAGCCACTGGCTAAAGTGGTTGTCATTGTTAACAGTGTGACTTCTCCGTGTCTTCTGTGGGAATCAAAAAGTGAAGGTATGAGATGACATGTTTCTCTTGTGTAGGTCTTCAGATTTTTCCTGCAACAAAATGGCAAATATTGAGTCATTGGCTATGTCATTGATAGGAACTTTAACTCCAAGTGTTAACTCGTGAATGCTTTGTTTTCAGACATTGTGAGGAACTTTACTTTTGTCCCACTTTGGACCATTCGCATATCTATACAATATATGTAGTGGCATTAGTGTATCAGGAGGCAGGCTGCAGATATAGCAGGGTCCTGTGGAGTGGCCTGTTCTGTCTCACCTTTCCTCTGCTTATGGCATATATTCAAAGCTGGTTTCAGTTAGCATATTGAAATCAGTAATTAAGCTATGAGATCATCTTTTCTTAGGGTGGCTGTTATGGGGGTAAAGATGGAGATGAAGAGATAGGATAGCTCATGTTTTTCACAGATAAGCCTCAATTTCTGGCCCTGCTCAGATGCTTTCTGTCTGCCTGGACGCTTTCTGTCATATGTGGCATTCATTCATTTTGACATGTGGAATGTAACAGATAAAACTGTAGTGGTCTCTCAGTCCGTGATGGGACTTTTAAAATTTCTTATCCCCAGGGTAAGGATAGAGAAAGCATTTGCCTATAGGGACGTGCAATGACCATTAGCCTAATAGAGCTAGCACCTGCCTCCTTTCATAGACTCATACCACTGCACAGGAGAACAAAGTTGCCAAACAAAACCAAGTCAGGTGGCTGCAACCAATTAGCCATCACTGACCTAGAGGCCTAGAGTGACATGGTAGATGGGAAACAGGATGTGTGTTCCAAGATTTTAACAGTAACTGACTGAAGTATAAATAGACCCTGAGGAAATTCAAGACAATTGCTAGGACCTTCTAAGAGGTGGTGTGTGAATTCTACCTTTTGTTTGTGGCAGCAGAGAATATTCTCAAAGCTCCTGACTACTGGCCATTTCCTGGGCGTCTAACTACTGTGACGCCTTCAGTCTGAGAGCCCATTGTAAAGAGATAGAAGACATAAAGAGAGGGTTCAAAAGGTGTCTGCATCCTTTCTTAGTGCAGCTGCTCTATTTCTCTACAGCATCTTCTTCGCAGGTGTAACAGAAAAATGATCCTAACAGGGTTTTCTAAATCAGCCGTAACTCTGTGACTGAGGGCAAGTAACTTATTTTCTAAGCCTAAGTTTTCTCCTCTGTAAAAATGAAAAAATGCATATGGAGAATTTAATCCTGGCGTATGACAAATACTCAACAGGAATTAGCTTTTAAAAATGCTTTTGGGTCAGTCTAATTATTACAAATATTTCACTCTTGGCTAAATGTTAGTTGGAAGACAAAAGTGAATAGGACAGAGACTCTGCTCTCGGGGTCTCATTTCTGTAGGAGTATAAAGTTGATTTGGATTTGAAGTATAGTAATTTCCTGATTTGACATACACAATGAAAACTGAAAGAATGTAGCCTTTCTTAAAACTCTAGCTACAGTTTGTTCAGTAAGAAACCACTTTGGTAGGGGGTAAGATTCAGGTTTGAAATTTTATAAAGTGGTGATGGGGAAAGAATTAGTTCCAAGGAAGTAGATCTGGCTGTTGAAGAGGAAGTTACATAAGCCCTGGTAAGACCCTGGCGACAGAGTTCCAAGACAGTGGAGGGGGAAAGGAGAGAGGAGAAATGGCTCTAGTCTGTCCTGTGTCTGAACTGCAGGAAGACACACTTCACAAAGTTTATAAAAATGTACAGGCATGTTTCCTGTTATCTGAGATTCTAAAAGGAAAGGGCAGTCTAGGAAGAAGGCAGGCTGTCAGAGCTGAAACTGATGACACAATCTGCATTACCAGGCAGAGGAAAGGGGTTTCTGTGAATGGACCTCTGGTGTGTGGTTACCCAGGGAGCTCTCAGAGGCTAAGGTAGCAACTTGTATCTGCCGGTAAAAGGGAACTTGAGACAAAGAAGTGCTGTTATTTTGAGAGCTCACATAGCTGAAATGACTTGAAAAACTTACCTATAAGTAATTGGAGGTTTTGTTTTCCCTCTCCCATGTTAGATTTCAAACCCCATTAGGGGCAAGAACCAAGTCAGCACAATAAATATTGCTGAATTAAAGAGGGGTTTAGTAGAAATATCTGTGTTAAATTCTATAAGAGGGTAATGAAATCAACTAAGTGCCAAAGGCTCGGGGTGGACATTGTAGTGCAGGGGGTTAAACCAGTGCTTAGGATGCCTGCATCCTGTGTCTGAGTACCTGGTTCGAGTCCCAGCTGCTCTGCACTTCTGATCTAGCTCCCTGCTAATGTGCCTGGGAGGCAGCAGGTGATGGCTCAAGTACTTGGACCCCTGCCACCAACATGGGAGACCTGGATGGAGTTCCTGGCTCCTGAGTTAGGCCAGCCCAGCCCTGGCTTTTGCAGACATCTGTTTCTCCCTCTCTCTCTGTCACTCCGCCTTTTAAATAAATATGTACATACATGCATACATACATACATAAATCTTTTTTTTAAAATGTACTGAAAACTTAAGCTGCATTAACAGATTAACAGAAACACAGTTGCAATTGAAAAAGCAGCAGTGTAATGTGGCTACAACAAAAATTAACCCCATCTTTATTTTTTAGTAATAAATTATCAGATTATATTCTATCTTCAATTTAATGATCGATTTTTGTATTTTTAAATTCATAGATATACAGTGTGTTAAGATTGATAGGTCAATTCATCCTTAGCAGCGCACTTAGTAAAAGCCGCAGAACAAATGAGAAGAGGAGCTCAGGTCATGTCAGAGAAGCAAGACAAAGGAAATAGCACCTTAGCCTACAGATGGGAACCTTTGACAAGGCCACGGAGAAAAGAGTTTCATCTTGTTATGTGTGTCTTCAGAAAACAGACTAAGGACCAGTGATAGAAACTGAAGAGGCAGATGCTGCCTACTTTTAAGAGAGTACTTTTTTAGAATGAAACTACCTAGGGGAGGCAGTAAAGATCTTAGTGCTGGAAATTTTCTAGACTGCTTCCAGTTGAGCACTTTGTAGAAGGGACTCTCAGAGGTTCTCAATCCTGGTTGCATATCAGAATCTCCTGTGGGGCATTTTGAGATACGAGTGCCTGACTCCTTTCCCAAATATTCGGATTTAACTGGTCTGGAACAGGCTTCAGGCACTGGCTGCCTTTGAAGCCCCTCAGAGCATTCCAATGTACAGTCAGAACTGAACTCTTGAGATATACGGCCAAACCATTCACTGATACTTATTTAGTACATGCTGTATACCAGACACTGTGTTAAGCACATTTTTTACATTTTTCATTTACATAATCTTTATAATAACTGTGTGAGGTAGGGTCTATGAAATAGGTAATAAAAGATCAGTAGCTTATGATCTTTACCCATAGTCACATAGCTCTTAAATGGCAGTGTCCAAGTTGAGGCTCAGATCTGACTTTGAGAACCCATGATCCTCATTTCTTCTTATCCGATATGATCAACATTTTCTTTATTAGTGTTGTGTTCTTGACATGATTCTTTTTAAAGTGTCTACCTTACTAGATTGAAGATGAATATACCATCTACCTTACTTCTTTGGAAAATATATTGATCTTTTTACTTGCAGTGTCCATTATAGTAAGTAAATAAATCCAGAGTTTACAAAATCATAAACCATTGATCAAAATGTTCAGTGCATCTCCCAGAATGTTTTCTCAATCTTTCTAAGCCTGATAACAATAATCAAGAAAGCTGTTAGCACAAAGAACATATTCTGAAACCATTTGCCTCCCCTCAATCTGCAAGTAAGATAAATATTTAATAGTGGACAAGGTTGCCAGTAAACCTTCTCACTTGGCTTTAGTTCCAAGCTTAAAGCTATTAAAGCAGAAGCAATGTGTTTGTTTAAATAGTAGTAATAGCTTTAGTAGTAGCCATTTAGAACCATGTATTAGATAGCTAGTATCCAGTTATTTATTAACAGATTATCAGATTAGATTCTAAAATTTAGTGACTGATTTTTCTCTCCTTTAAAAGTACACTGGCACATTACAGTGTCACTCACTATTCTTAAGGCCACACATTGATATTTTAACACTTATTGTGTTAGGAATTTGCAAGTAAATTCCTTATTTTCACTGTTGTGAACAGTGCTACAATAAACATAGTGGAGCAAGTATCTCGTATCTCTTTAATACAATGATTTCATTTCTTTTAGCTATATAGCCAATAATGAGATTGTTTGGTCATGTCAACAGATGATGGATAAATAAAATGTGATGTGTATGTATGTGCATAATAGAATATTATTCAGCCATTAAAAATAATGAAATCTTGTCATTTTCAGCAAAATGGATATAACTAGAGGCCATTTTGTTAAGTGAAATAATCCAGACACAGAAAGACAAATACTGCATGTTCTCCTTCATATGTATAAGCTAAAAAAAAAAAAAAAACTCAATCTGCACCTAAAATAGTAATTACTAGAGGCTAGGAGAGATGGAAGGGTAGAAGGAGATTGGATAACAGGTACCAAACCACAGTTAGGTAGAAGAACTTAGTTCCTACTGTTACACAGCATAGAGGGGTGACACAGTTCACAATACCCTATTTTTATATTTTCCAAGCAAATAGAAGAGAGGAGCTCCAAAGTTCCAATCATAAAGTAACGACAAAGAGGATGAAATGTTATTACCCTGATTTGAGTAATACAGACTGTGTACATGGGTTGAAATGCCACACTATACCCCCAAAATATGTACAATTATTGTTAGTAAATAAGAGTTTATAAAAAAAAATGCCAGTGAATGCAAGAAGCAAGGCACTGTGTTAATGCAGTGAACTAATTTCCCAGTGGATAGTACCCGTGGCCCATGTGTTATATTAAAGTGGTCACAATATTTCAATAGTGATTTTTAATGTTGTTACTTGGCAAATCCTGTTCATAAGTTGGCAAACTCATGCTGCTGTGTCGGAACTACCCCCACCATCGTCCTACCCCTGCCAGTTTCGCTGCTCTACTGGGGGGCCAGACCTAACAGGTCTCATTATGCCCCAGATGAGCAGAAGCTTTTTAAACGCAGTATGTTCAGCTATGTTTATATAAACATCACATTGTTAGGTTGAAATACATACCTATTGGATAATGGTAGCAACCTTTCACCGCTTTTACTTTGGCTTGATAATGACTGAATCTATTCAGACTATGCTTCAAAATTGCATGAAATGCTACATGCAGAATGAAAATTGAAAGCATGTTTGTTTAAAAAAAGAGTATCAATAGTATCTTAGGTTCCATTATAAACTTAAGTGCATCAATTTTTTTAATTTTAGTTATTTGAATTAAGTGTATTTTGCTTTTCTTTTCTCTCACATTCACCTTCTTTACTTCGGCAACACTAAACTTATAATTTCATTAATCTGGTAATTGTCATTAAGCAGTAATAATGTGATGAAAACAATACTGTATTTTAAAACAGTGAAACAGCATAAGTTAAGTCCATAATGTACAGTTAATTTATAATACACTAGAAAAAAATTATGACATCTGAAAAAAACTTTTAATCAATTCATGTAGATCTGCAAGTCTTTGTGGCAATATCCACATGCAGTATAAACTCTGTGATTATATTGATAGTATGAGCTTAAATAGCTTGAATGCCCTAGAGCACTTAAAGTAGCTACAGAGACAGCCTCATTTGAAATCAAGGCAGAGGGTGTCATTCTTTTGACTCCAGAATTGCTAGTGTTAGAGCCACCTTATCACCATGAGTCAGGCAGGTTTCACTTTGAATACTGAGATAGCCAAATGTTAACTAAAAGAAAGACTCCACTATGTAGTTGAAAGGAATAAATACTCACAGAGTCCAGGTAGTCCTGCAGTAGGAGCTGAGCCCCTAACTTCCCTAGACACCAAGACAGCACACTTGTGTCAGCTGGCTCTTCCATCCGGTTGTGGTGCAATTGGTCAGGGTTCTCTTCTTTTTTATATCTGCATGTGCTAGTAGAGCTGCTTTTTCCCCTTTGCTTTTCTTTTTTTTTTTTTTTTCAAAGGGCTAATCCTCAGACTTCTTTTGAAAATATTCTGAAGCCCCACCACCATGCCACTTGAAGCTCAGTCAACACTTGACTTGAGGCAATCATTTCTCTCTTCTTGATGAATACCTCCTAAGTTGACAGTTATGGCAGGTTTCCCCCGCCACCCCCAAAATGAACACGCTTTATAAATTATAATCCGACATAAGCATTTTCCATATTTCTGAAGAATTGATGCGTAAGAATGCTGTAAGGACTTTTAAAGCACAAGCATTGAATTTCTCTTTCTTTCTGCATTAATTTTAGAAATTGTTATTCACATAAAAAGGGCATTCATATATTGAATTATTTTGCCGTTCAGTTTTATTTTGTTTTATTTACAGATTAGTTTATTTTCATTTATTTATTGATGACATTCTTCATTTTCCCAATCTTATCATTTTAAGACGAGATGAGGTTTGTGATGGTGTTCTCCCCTTATTCTAACAATAAACTTTCCCAACTAAATTAAAACAATTTCTTGTATTTTGAATAAAATCATGATGGGATTCTGCTGTTTTTGTTTTATCCTAGCCCCATACCTAACCACTCTTTGTTCATTTATGTAACTGCTGGTCCTGCAGTTTAATGTCATTTCCCTTTTTTCGTTGTCATTTGAAATGACGAAGAGTTAGCATTTATTCTCCCCATGACTGAGATCCTGCAGTTTTGTTAATACTAAGTAATATTTAACTTATTGGGCTTTAACTAACATCCTAATTATTTGGCGGGGGGGGGGGTACACTCTTCCAAACATCATATTTTCCAAAGCTTTTGTTTTGTTAGAAATATGATACATGGGAAAAATGTTTTTAAATTGGTGGGATAAAAATATTTTATAGCTTTTACTTCCCCCTAGAACCTCCAAGAAGGAAGGTGATTTACTGTATTGTTCTGGCAGGCGTTTTGTTTTGTTTTGTTTTACTTTTATTAATATAAAGAGAACAGATTTCATGTATTTCATAGGTACAGTTCTAAAAAGATAACCTACTTTCCTCCCTTCCCCCAGGATTTTTTTAATCGTGGTCAAGAACACATAACATTAAATTTACCATCTTAACCATTTTTAAGTGTACAACCCAGTAGTATTACATGTATCTACACTGTTGTGTGACAGATCTCTAGAACTTTTTCATATTGCAAAGCTGAAACTCCATACCCTCAATACTAATTCCCCTACTTCCTACCCTACTCTTGGCAACTATGATGCCACTACGATTTTTGACTGGTTTAGGTACTTCATTAAGAAGTATATTTCATAATCATATAGTATGTATCCTTTTGTGATGATTTCTATCTTTGCATGATATTCTCCAGGTACACCCATGTTGTAGCATGTGTGACAGGACTTCCTTCCTTTCTAAGACTGCATAATATTCCATTGCATGCATATATTTTCCTTATCCATTTGTCAGTCAAAGAAGTTTGGGGTGCTTTTGCCTCTTGGCTGTTGTGAATAATGCTGTGATGAGCGTGGCTGTGCAAATATTTGTATCTCTTCAAGATCCTGGCAGGATTTTTTAATGACTATGTGGGTATTTACCTACTAGGGTTCTATTTTATAAAATCTAATATAAATATTTTTTTCTGTCTTGTGCTGTTTTCCCACACCTAAGCCATCCCTTTTCAAAATACTATTTCTGTTTTAATCTTTAGTAGTCTCATATTATGACTGCATTTTTCCTCAATGTGAGTCAGGAAAGCTTCCAGCAGATTTGAATATAATCTTTTTCTAGATCTTTGTTGACCTGAACTTTTTCCTATTTATTCTGAACTTCCTACTGAGTTTTTAGCTCATTCCTATAGATCCTGTTCTAGTCACCTTTTCTCTCTATGTTGTTAGCTTTCTATTTACATAAAGCTGGAAGTAGAAAAGAAGAAATACCTGTATGTACTTGTGTGGTACCTTCTGTTACTTCTGTTATTCTTTATCCAAATCCCAACCCTGCTTAAATTCAGCTCACCACCTACCGCAGACCTGAACCCTACCAGTTAAAATAAGGGCTGGAGGGGACGAACACACAGTTATGCTGGCTGTTCTTGATTCAAATTCATGACCACAAATCTCAAGTGAGCTGCCAGAAATCCTGATATAGCTCCTTAGTCTAGGAGTTCTCAAAGCATGGCTCCTCGATCAGTGGCATCAACATCAAGCTTGTTAGAAATGCACATTCCTGGGGCCAGCGCCGTGGCTCACTTGGTTAATCCTCCGCCTGCGGCGCCGGCATCCCATATGGGCGCTGGGTTCTAGTCCCGGTTGCCCCTCTTCCAGTCCAGCTCTCTGCTGTGGCCCGGGAGGGCAGTGGAGGATGGCCCAAGTGCTTGGGCCCTGTACCCGCATGGGAGACCAGGAGAAGCACCTGGCTCCTGGCTTCAGATCGGCGTAAGCGGCCATCTGGGGGGTGAGCCAACGGGAAAGGAAGACCTTTCTCTCTGTCTCTCTCTCTCACTGTCTAACTCTATCTGTCACATAAAAAAAAAGAAAAAAAAAAAAGAAATACACGTTCCTGACCTTATCTCAGACCTAGGAGCCAGAAATTCTGGGGGCGGGGCCCAGCAGTCTGTGTGATTCTGCTGCTAAACTTTGAAAACCACTGCCTTCATCAGTTCATTCTCTAAGTTTTGAAAGTCCTTTTTTTCACACCTTTACTCTTCTCAGACTGCTAGCAACCCCCTCTCGTTTCCCACTCCAATCTGATGATTGCTTTTTATCTCACTGAGAAAATAGAAGCACTAGGGAGAGAACCTCACCTTCCTACATCCCCATTTGCCTGCCTCCGCAGGGGCCCCTGGACCGGCCTTCTCTGCTGTCCCTAGAGCCCACAACACTTCCTTGGCCATTCCATCTCACTCTCTGTCTTCCCTCGGTCATGGCCCTCTCTACAGGATCATTCCCATCACAAAACCAAAACGTCCATGAAGGCATCTGTGCAGTCATCTATGAAGATGTGTTGTTATGTGAAATATTTAAATATTTATATGTGTCTTATTTAAAATATATCTTATTTTTTTTAAGATTTATTTATTTAGTTGAAAGGCAAAGGCAGAGAGAGATCTTTCATATGCTGTTTCACTCCCCAAATGACTGCAACGGCTAGAGCTGGGCCAATCTCGAGCCAGGAGCCAGGAGCTTCCTCCAGGTCTCCCAGGCAGGTTCAGGGGCCCAAGCACTTGAGCCATCTTCTACTGCTTTCCCAGGCCACAGCAGAGAGCTGGGTCAGAAGTAGAGCAGCCTAGACTTGAAACGGTGCCCATATGGGATCCCAGCACTGCAGGTGACAGCTTTACCAACTATGCCACAGCGTCAACCCCTGAAATGCATCTTATGTAAATAACTGCATTGAGAAATAAACCAGTGGCCAGCGCTGTGGTGCAGTGGGTTAACGCCCTGGCCTGAAGCACCAGCATCCCATATGGGCTCCGGTTTGAGACCCGGCTGTTCCTCTTCCAATCCAGCTCTCTGCTATGGCCTGGGAAAGCAGTAGAAGATGGCCCAAGTTGTTGGGCCCCTGCACCCGCGTGGGAGACCTGGAGGAAGCTCCTGGCTCCTGGCTTCGGATCAGCGCAGCTCGGGCCGTTGTGGCCAATTGGGGAGTGAACCATCGGATGGAAGAGTCTCTCTCTCTCTCTCTCTCTCTCTCTCTCTCTCTCTCTCTTTCTCTGCCTCTCCTCTCTCTGTGTAACTCTTTGTTTTTATTTATTTATTTATTTTTATTTTTTGACAGGCAGAGTGGACAGTGAGAGAGAGAGACAGAGAGAAAGGTCTTCCTTTGCCGTTGGTTCACCCTCGAATGGCCGCCCCGGCCGGCGCGCTGCAGCCGGCACACCGCGCTGATCCGATGGCAGGAGCCAGGTGCTTCTCCTGGTCTCCTATGGGGTGCAGGGCCCAAGCACCTGGGCCATCCTCCACTGCACTCCCGGGCCACAGCAGAGAGCTGGCCTGGAAGAGAGGCAACCGGGACTAGAACCCGGTGTGCCGGCACCGCAAGGCGGAGGATTAGCCTAGTGAGCCACGGCCTCTGTGTAACTCTTTCAAATAAATAAATAAATCTTTTTTTTAGCATTTATTTAATAAATATAAATTTCCAAAGTACAGCTTTTGGATTACAGTGGCTTTCCCCCCCATAACTTCCCTCCCACCCGCATCCCTCCCATCTCCTGCTCCCTCTCCCATTCCATTCACATCAAGATTCATTTTCAGTTATCTTTATATACAGAGATCTATTTAGTATATACTAAGTAAAGATTTCAACAGAGTGCACCCACACAAGTACTGTTTGAGTACTAGTTATACCGTTAATTCACATAGTACAACACATTAAGGACAGAGATCCTACATGGGGAGTAAGTGCACAGTGACTCCTGTTGTTGACTTAACAATTGACACTCTTGTTTATGGTGTCAGTAATCACCCTAGGCTCTTGTCATGAGCTGCCAAGGCTATGAAAGCCTTTTGAGTTTGCCAACTCCGATCTTATTTAGACAAGGTCATAGTCAAAGTAGAAGTTCTCTCTTCCCTTCAGAGAAAGGTACCTCCTTCTTTGATGGCCCATTCTTTCCACTGGGATCTCACTCACAGAGATCTTTCATTTAGGTCATTTTTTTTTCCACAGTGTCTTTTAAAAAAAAAGAAAAGAAAAATAAACCAAACATTAATAAAACCTTATCAGTGGGGGGATTGGGAAGGAAAATAAAAGCCAGGTCTCTCTAAATGATATTTGTTTTGCAGCTTTTGACTTTAAACTTACATACTTTTTATTTAATTAAAGCACCAAATTAAGTCAAAGTCTAAATAAAACAAACTGAAGCAGATGTTTGGCCTAGCAGTTAAAATGCCAGTTAAGACATTTATGTTCCACATCAAATGCCTGGGTTCAGTTGGCTGCTCTGGCTCCTGATCCAGCTTCCTGCTAATGCACATCTGGTAGGCAGTGGTGATGGTTCAAGTAATTGAGTCCCTGCCACCCACCTGGGAAACTGGGCTTGATATTCTTCAGCCCCCTCTGGTTTGTTGTAGGCATTTGGGAATGAGTCAACTGATGGGAGCACTCTTTCTCTCTCTCTTTCTCTCTTAAATTAAAAAAAAAAACCCTCACTATATGACAAATCGAAAGCATAACTACAAGGAGAATTATTTTAGGTGACTTTAAAATAG